TTTGAATTTCTGTTACGCAAACCAAAGAGCACTAAACTGCTCTACGATCATGCCTGTGGACAGCGACACCATTCAGTAAAACAGTCGCAAGAACGCGATGAGACGCTACATCCACTAAACGTGGGACAACAGATTTTGCCCTCTTTACTTGCTATCAGAAAATGTGGCAAAACACTTTCAGAATTGCCGTAAACATTTTCCAACTCAACCGCAATACAGTAAAATATATTTTGTGGGACACGATTGGTATATCAGAAAACAATGGAATAATGATGCAGGTCATAAAAAGGACACTGTGTACCCGAGGCACTAATGGAAGACATTGAAACAGGCACCTGCATTTTCATTTCCGAAACACGCGACCACGTAGTTTATCATTCTCTCAATTTCTACATCATGCAAAGAAGCACAGGGGAAACGACACAGTGCACAAAGCAAAAGATGTGGCGTGATCACTTACCGTCTTCTAGCGGAGCGGGGAATGGGTCAGGAGGAGGGGTGCGAGTAACTGAAACATAAAACAAACAAACTGCAAACATGCGACAAAGAAAAGCCACAAGTGCTAACACTACACCATAAATTACACATAAGAAATCCTCATTAATTTATAATAGTATTCAAATCTAGTTTAAATTTTAATAACTCCGAAAATACTTAAAATATAAATAAACTGTACGTAGAATACAAAAGCACAATGAATAAAGTTTATTTTAACGTTATTTCGGATTCTGTATTAACTTTGGTGGGTTGATTGATCGGAAAATGTAAATTTTGCGGTTGCAAACGCGCGGAAATTTCAAATGTTTCATTTGAAATGCTTCTTGTAACACCTGAATCTTGTACAGTCATTCATGAAATATAAGTCTGAGAATCTTGTGATCTGTTAGATGCACATTTAACCAACTTCCGCAAATTTCTGAAGTGATTCCATGCATCTGCTCGTCTTCTTGCTGATCTTACATCTCCCGAGGTCAACGGCAATCATAATTAAATGACCCAGTTCATTTCGCCTTTATCGTCAACCAGAAAGAAGTATAAGATATTTCTAGAAAACTCAAAATAATGAAGAACATTCACAGAAAGGCAAACACTATGACACAAAAAAACTACAGAGATTACAAACGAGAAGCAAGTCTGAGGAGCCAAGCATTTACATTTCGAAGACTATTAATATTAAACCGGTTTTTCATGCTGCCCACATACCATTACAAAGAAAATGACAGTGCAATGAATATGAGATTTACTACAGCAGAGACAATAAAAGGCCGTGCAGGAAAGAATTACAAGGCAAGGCCGACCGTGCTACCCTGATGAGACAACGGCACGTTCAAGAAGTAACATTATACGAAGAACTTAAAGAATTGACAATACTGGCTGAATCCAGTCTCCATCATAACATCACATATCTTTAAGATTAACTTTAATATTATCTAACCACCTACACCTACTTCTCCCATATAACTCTTCCTTTTATTGTTTTTAAACTAAAATTTTGTACATATTTCTTATATATCACATCGTCCTTAATTAGATCGCTCTAATAACATTTGATGAAGAGTATAAATTATGAAGCCCGACATTATAAAATGTTCTCCATCCTCTGCCAAATCTTTATCTTTTTTGGTCCAAATATTCTCCTAGGCATCCCTTTCTCAGACACCCCCGATCAACGCTCTTCTCTTACGGCGAGATACCGACACGCGGACGTACTTACATCGTGGTCACAAAATTTTATGTCGCAGGATAAATTCAAAATGTTTCTGTTGAGTTTGCGAAACTCGTCGTAAATACGACTCGAACTTCGTACATCGCGCTATACCAGTTCTGCCCCTTCATCTTCGCCGTTCATATAATCCTATTAAGATTAGTTCATTCGCATGAACACAATTCTACGTACGTTTTCTGCTGGGCTGGAATATAGCTTCATAGTCGCCCACATTCTGAATGTCGGCCACTGACTGGGACTCATCTTCCGGATCAGTTCCTGACCTGTCGGATTCCTCGATGGTTTTTACATCTAGCCTGAAATGGTAAAATACTGAAAGACTAGCTGAACCCGTTTACAAGCATAAAACGTGAAACTGTCCGTGTGCTTATAACACCAAGACATGACGAAGTTTCGATGAGTGGAGGTAATGCCGCAAGTCTTGGCACTATACAGAGGCGAGTCGTGGCTTCATACTCCAGCTGCTCTATTCCTGTGATGTTAAATATATGCAATGTAGCAAGGACGACTGCGGGCTACCCACTTAACGATATAAGGTTGCCAGAATGCCCCTTTAGAAATTTAGAAAAATTATTAGCATACGTGAATGAACATACAAAACTGTTTACTCTAATATTAAAACTCCACGGGGTTTGTTTCATTTATTTGAGTTATTTTTTAATTCTGCACTTAAGTTACGAGGACAACTTCATAACCTGCTCATGGCATTCAAATTTAAAACTCTGCACCACGTAGCACTGGCATTTTCATTTTTAAAACTACGCCCCTACCAACAACAAATATGAACCTCTAATCTAACTTACGTAGCCTTCGCAACATTGAGCGGCTTATCCCGGCTGAAACTTTTACGGACACTCTGCCCGTGGACGAAAGGCGACGGGCCGACATCATCCGGTCCTCCGCCAAATGGCTGTACCCTCTTGAGGTCCACGACACATAGGACGACATTGGCCATGTGGAATGAGGCACTGATAAGTTGGTTCTGAGCCGTAGCTATATCCTGGATCTTCCCCCACCCCACGGGGATGGTGTCGTATGTCCAAGCAGGTTCCCAGCCATACACTTTCAATACATCTTGTGACCCTGCATAAAGACATTCCCCACCTTGGCTGAAGTAGATGCACCTGCCATTAGAGAACGACACAGGATTGCCGATGGTTGCGTTAAAAAGTAAAGTAAAGCTATCCTATTATACACCATGGAGGTACTTGGGGGGAGTGACGGCATAGCTCCTACTCATCCTTGATCTCGGCACTAGATGGGGCTGAGTGGCCAGCGCCACACCCCGGCAGCGCTTTACCCCTGGGAAAGGACCTGGGTACCCACTGGATAGGAGGCTGGGTGGGCCCCAGAGCCAATCTAGATGCAGAGGCTACAGGAAGAATCCTCTGTGCCTGTTGAGGACCGAACCTCGTTCATCCCGGCCACAGCTGGTCACTATACTGACTGAGCTACCATAATTGTAATGATTACATTAAAATATTAATAATATAAACTTTTATATGACAAATCCTGATAACAGATGGATAGTGAGATTTGTGGTTCTCACAGCAGTGAAGATGCTGGTCGTCGAGATAGTAAGTGAATTCCAAGAAATTAAACATCTGGCGAATGCTTAGCTATCATTCAATTCAGAATCTCGTATTTCCTTCTCCTATCAAAAAACACGAATATTAAAATATAAAGATTGGTAATTTTTTTCCCTTTCCGAAAGAATGAAAAATAAAACAGTGAAACAATGTTGCCATGTTACTTACCTTATGGCACCACAATCTCTGTCAGTTGTAGATACGAGCTGGAAATTTTCCAGATCCCAGAAGTTAACGGTACGATCAGAGCTACCAGAAGCCAGCAAGAATTCGTTGGGGTGAAATTCAACCGTCGTGACAGGACCACCATGGTCCGTAAATTCTTTGAGAAGTCGACCAGCCCTAATATCCCACAGCTGGGACATAACGGGAAATCGTGATTAAATACATCTCGTTACGCGCAAAACGACTTCCCTGCATTTTAAACATCAGTACCAGTTGGACACAAGTGCTCAGCTTCATGCTTAGGCTACCTTTACCACCGGGTAAAGAGCCCAAAGTACCAAAACTGAATAAGTCTAATGGAAGTTTTGAATATGGTTGTGAAGATTTAGGAGTTACTCAGTTTGAATCTCTACTGGGTTAATGAATATTTTGACCAAGAACATTTTTAACTTTCCTCAGTCCCTCAAGGTCACGCAGCAATTCTTAGATTATTTAAAGATGCTTCTCGACTGCATACGTTATGTAAAATGTAAAAGATGAATCATCATTGTTCATTTACAATTAATTCAATCAGTGATGTGTAATAGCTCGACAAAATAATTTAACAACAATTTTTTAAGTTGAACATTCCAACATAACCTAAAAAATCAAACCAAGATAAAAACCAATATGAAAAATGCATCATTGGAAACAACCGAGCAGTTACAGCATTAAAAGAATGTGAAGGTAGTTATTGAACTCAATGTAATCCTAAAATTTACCAACACAAAATTTCTTCCCAAACCCACAGCAGGCAATTATAATCTTTTCAAGAAAAATCCTACGGTCATAATGACAAATTAGGAACAGCGCAGACTTACCTTTACCAAACCCTCTTCTCCGGCTGAAGCAATCCACTGACCATCGGGGCTAAATTTCAGGCTGTTAACAGTTAGCTTGTGACCCTTGTACGTAAAAATACAGCCTTTACGCCGGATATCCCACAACTGAAATAAAAGAACTTTCAGTGTAAATGTTAATTGTTGTAGAGTTTTATTCTTATCCTTGGGATTTCTTACTTGTTGTCTATGGGAAGTGCACGAATGCTGCATATTTCTGTCAACATCCTTCATCTCTTTGAATCTGAAGAGGCGGTGTAACTACAAGGAACGCGAGATTTCAGGCTCTCATAGCGGCGATGTGTTTCACAGCCAATTCTTTTTGATATTCCTCAATCTCACTGATAACAATTTTTGTATTTAATTTTCTTCTGATGCCTCTCTTATAATACCCAGTAAAGATAAAGACTTATAAATTAATTCAAAAGATTTAAATTATACTTATAGTACTGTCATTAGTGTCTTCAATTAAACTGATACCAGACTTGATCAATTTCCAAAAATAATTATTCCCTATATAAAAACGCATTGGAGTGTGGAATAAAATAGAAAGCTCATTAAGATCTACTCTCAGTTAAAATGCATCTCTGGATTATATTTAGAATTTACATGTATCTCTTCATATTATAATATATTTAATCTCTTTTGACACAAAGCTGACAAGTGACAAACTGTGTTTATGAATTATATACCTTTATTGATGTGTCCAATGATCCAGAAGTAAGAAAATCACCATATGGATGGAAATCCATGCACCGTATCGTACCTTTGTGCCCGGTCAATGTCCGAACTATCTTTGCCGCTTCCAGATCCCAAATTTTCAGTGCTCCAGTCTGTGACCCAGCACATACTAGTTCCTCAGTATGTCCAAACTGCACACACTCTACTGGTGTTGTGTGACCACTCAGACTCTGAACAATAAAACAATAATCTGACATATGATGTTCTCACAGTCACTGACACGTCAACAAACTGTAACTCATGGAAGTGGCATTAAAATACCTTCACATGAGTTAGCAAGAAGGTTTAGAATGTTATAAGAGTGTTGTTCACATTTTGAATAATGTGTTGGACTAAATACAATTTATGACTAAAAATACTTCATATTCTGACTTTTAGATTTCGTACTGTATGACTGGTATCAAAACGAGTATAAAATATAGGTTATTCAAGAAAAGTACTAAGAATCTCAAAACCAATGTGCCGTATAAACCAAAGTGAATAATTAACCTTTACCAGTGAGTGTCAGTAAACCAATAAGTCTGGAGTCAAAGTCTAGCTGGCAGCCCTGTAAAACAGGGATTTATATTCCCTGGTCCCATACAATAAAGTTTAATCTATAAGGAAGCTATTAAAAGTAACAAACCATGATGCAGTTATGCTTTCCAACAGCCCACAAGTTAACTTTCTTGTCATCACCTCCAGTTACCAATACACGACCTGATTTGTGGCCAAGTGCCAAACAATTCACATTGGAACCATGAGCCACAAAGTCTTCTGAAACAGCCATCACATAATTATTAATTGCAACTGAACTCTGAATAAATACAAATTAATTCACTCCATATACTGTTACAAAGTGACAGAACATTTAGTAAAATGTCGCATGCAATAAAAAATAAAGGCCTACTGTCCATAAAAGTAATATTCAAGTTAGTTTACTTACGCAGCCTCCATGAACGTTTGGTAGACGATGCCATTAAGATTTTGATGTTGAAAATTTCAATTCGAACAATGCAGCACGGGAACGACCAAACAAGGACAATTCTTCTGTCCCATCATCTTCATTTTCCAACAGAAAATAAAATCTGTGTGAAATGTCAGCAGTCAAATTAAAAATATTATCAGCAACCACCTCGTGTTTACACATGTGTAATAAGGAACGTACAACTTTCCAAATCTGCAACCTGTACTGCCACTGCTTTTAACATTTGTTTCGGATTTCCATGACATACAATACCATCTGTGGAAATACTGGACGACGGAACGAGTATAGAATAGGCCGACAATTTTATGATACTGATAATTCTGTTACATTTCCAAATTCCGCATTTAAAATATAATTCAAATTACTTCATATTTCTGATCGTTATGAATTGTTTTTATCCACAATTTGAACCCCATGGGTTTTATAACACGATTCTACTTACGTAAAAATCAAAGTTGTTGCTAACCTCCGATTGTACATTACTGCCATCTCATATCATACAAGAAAATTAAATGACCGATTTCAATAGCTCACTTGGTAAATATTGTTTCCAAATCAAACAAATGTAGCAATAGAGAAATAAAAATATTTCCTTCAATAAATAACATAAATTGTCATCGCTGTTGGCACAGCTAAAAATGACACTCTAGAAATTTTCATTTGGCTTAAAGTTTAGATGGATGAGCATAACCTCCCAGTTGTGCATTCATTTCACACATTTTGTGCGAAGCAGACACAAAAAACTAAGATTTTTGTCTTAAAAAATACATCTGTAACTAGGATAACCTGGGAAAATACTCCTACACACTCTGATAATTTAACAAACCCACAAATAAACTCACTTGAACAAATACCAAACTAATAACCAGTCACACCACAATTCAAACACTGGTAATCCCCAAGTCTACAGATTTTATGTATATAAAGCCATATTATTAATAGAATTTATTGAAATTAATAATATATAAAACTAATACATCAATATTAAGAAGTGCTTTGTGCTCAACGCTTCTTCCATGTGTATTTCTTTCTGGCTCCAGCTTGTCCCGGCTTCTTCCGTTCATGTTTCCTGTAGTCCAGCTGTAACAGCCCAGCTGGAATTTGAAAAACAAATTTAGATTTTAAATATATGTGCAACAACAATTTTGTCTTGCCCCTTTATTAGTATCAACACCTCATTCAGTAACGTGAACGGTTGAGGTGGACAACCGGTTGAGTTGCTGGTGGAATAGTTTGGTATATTTTAAGCTTTATAGTCCTAGACAGAAGATACAAAATCAAACACTTCTTAACTGCATGGTAACACATACTCTTGAATTTATTCTTCTCTTAATTTCATACTGAATGCAGTTTTGACCCATTACTGTCGAATATTTGAACATTGCCATATTTTCAAAGGATTTATTACCTACTTTTACATAATGACCCTTTCTATGTTAATTTCCAGACCAACTTCCATACAGCATCCAATAGAGTTTGTTTTTTTTTCTTCCATATTTGTTTCTGCCAACAATCATGATCACAAAACAGAAATTATATGTCCCACTCAATTCCAAACTCCATTTTCCCATCCTTACTGATGGCATATTTAATTAAAATGATATAAATGTTTAATATCATACTTTTAATCTTACCAATTCTCATTTTATCAACCATGTCCTGGCTTACAAAGCTGCGCAGTCCACAAGCTATCCCCCATCTGATAGCTCCAGACTGTCCGGAAGGTCCTCCGCTAGTTACAGTCGCCTCCACATCCACCATACCGATCATATTTGTAAAGATCAGAGGGAACAACAGCTGAAAGAAAAAGTTATACATGTGGACTGTCAAATTTATCAACAGAAAATTAATATGTATCACGAGAGGCGCATAATTTAGAAAAAAGTCTGACTTTAGGTTTTCATAGCAGCGAGTACGAAGACGACTGATTTCAGAGATGAAAAACAGTACATTTTTGAGTTTCAAAAACTGCAGAGAACTTCACCAGCTGGACAATTATGAGAATGTGAAGACTGATTCTGGTGCATGAGGTACGTTACAAGGTCCATTATAGCGTTCCCCAAGAAATATCGTTCTATATTTTTAATATAATAAAATGGCACATGTGGTAAGTAATACCAACTCTTGTACAAAACTACTCATTTTAATTTTTATTCCATTAGTCGTTGGAAAACAGATTAAACATACAAATGTTACGTGATATAAAATTTAACATTGAGACAATCACTCAAAACATCAATAACAAAGAACTTATTCAGTACTTTAAAGAACATAAGCAAAAGTTTCACTTCATACAAAGAACAAGAACATACACAAAATTTCTTTGAATAAAAATGATAGAATATACAGTAATATTATATATTATTATTTTAAACAATTGTCAGCTGCTAACACAAGATGCCACAGACATGAAAAATCTCAAAAAAAAAATCCTTAGCGTGGTGGCAAGATAAGATTACTTACGTAGTCACAATTACATATTATTATGTACTATTAAAAATCAAATGATTGATAAAGATGCGTCAACGCCACTCTTCACCTAACACTTACCTTAAAGTACTTAAAAACTCTACCATCTGTCCAATCAAATCTGCTGCCTTTAGGAATCACTCTCTCTCTCTGTTCAAGCATTTGCTTCATTATTTAACCCTTTCCATGTTAATCTTCTGGTTTTACCACACCCCACAATAAGATACAATAATATTCTTTGAAAAGCCATGAAATGCTAAACTGCTGTGAGAGTGGGATAATTTCTGGCACAAATCTCAAACAACAAATAAATTCAGACTAGAAGGTCCAATGATACTAGGCAAGGTATCACAGGTGTAACCTGGAAAGGGCCAAATTAAACAAATACCGACGTAACCAGAACAGTCAATTTAAATAAAATTTACATACTACATGCTTCTTGTATATTAGGTGCAGCAGCGATTTTTAATTTCAGAGTATAAGGCACAATGAAGGGTTAATATCAAAAGCGCTTTTAATGTCTCAACAGTCAGTGCTACTCTTTTTGTTCAACATTTCAAACAATCGATTTAACAAAGCCACGTTTGATTTTGTCGCTTCCCTGAGTTCCTGTACTTCCTCCGTTAACTTAGCTATTGCCTTGGAACCTTCTTCTACGCCCAACATCAGCGACTGGATATTTAACAAATCCTGCATCTGGGAAAAACTATTTGTCTTGCGAGATTTTGTAAGTGTGGAAGAACTTGTACTAAAGGATCCCCGAGAGGACACCGTATGACCAAATCGTCTTCTCTGCTTTGCCATTTCATACGCTGCCACCAAAACATTTTTTGGTAATCTCTTTTCTCGAGGATTGAGAGGTTTCACTAGTATCACGACCCTGTATGCAGAAGGCGACACCAACGCTGTCCACTGAAGAACTTTAATTATGCACTTTGGCAAGTAACCATTGAATAACGCAGACTCTATGTACGAAATTAATTCTGTCTGACGAACGAGCTTCAGGAGTCCTGCCACCTTCTGGAGTCCTTGGATATCGTGTACAGCAATTCCCACAAGCAAGTTCATCAAAATAACAGTAACAAAGAGAACAAAAACAGTAAATATCACATGAGCACTGATTTCCAAAAGAAATTCTGGTTTCTTTTCATCATCTTTTCCAAATAACAGATCTTCAAAATCCAATTCACCAGTCATCATAACAAGGACTTTTATGAAGCCAACAAATGGATTTCCAAAGGCATCTGACGTGGGGAAAATAACACAAAATGAGATTGTGAACCCGATTAAGAGACACAGATACGCTGCGAAAAGTTTTGCAAATTCTTTTTGCACACTGGTATACATGGCCACATAAGATCCTAAAACAGGCAGCTGCCCAATCATAACCATGAGATTTATCCAACTCAGAAGCACAGCAAAGGCCCCTACATGATTCTGCCAGGTGTACGTTCTTCCTGTATAGATGCACGACACCACAAAAACACTGGCTATAACAAACCATTCGACGACATTTTCTATCTGCGACAAATATTGTTTCAAAGACGAATACGCTGCAAAACCCATAAACTTACGCACACACTCGCACACAGTAAAAAATACGAGGACAAACCACGTGGTTTCAGTCACTAAATGATTCCTCCTAAGAAATTCCGCGACCATAGACGTATCTTGGCATAGCTGCGTCTCGCTTCCATTCGAAGTGGCATTACTCACCGCTTTGCTAGTATTGTAGCAGTTATGCGCCAGAGCCATCAGAATATAAGCGGACAGATTCAAGACGAAGATCCCGCAGAATAAAATTCTGGCAACATAGTATTTACGTATCTTCTCCCATT